TCGCCCAACTGCTCCCCTTCATCGTCCTCGTCGTCCTGCTGCACCTCGGTCGGCGTCCCGACCGATTCCTCCCCTGCGGTCAGCTCCCCTGTCGACTGCCAGGTCGCCGACTGCTCCTTGGTCGGCCTTGTTGCTGCCTGCTCCCCTGTCGGCGTCGACTTCACTCCCACGTCGACTTGCTGCCCGTCACGTCGGCCACCGGCGATGCTCTTGGCCGCAGGCGACGTCCCACTACTCCCCTCATCGCCGGAGGCCGACACCGGAGTCAGTCCACGCATGTCGGCCACGAGGGGAGAAACATGGGTCGTGGGAGGAGGGGAAGGAGGATGGTCGACCGCGATGTCCCCAGCAGCGAGCTCACCGACCGCCGCGAGCAGAGGCAGCGTCGCCGTCGAGGTGTCGGTCGGCGGAGTGCTCGGCGTCCGTCCGGACACTGGCCCGTGCTCCGACTTCCACACCTCCAGCGACATGTCCTCGTAGAACACCACGTCCGACGTGGTGACCACCCGGTTGTCGGCGATGTCGAGGAGCTCCCAGCCTTTGCTCTCCTCCGACACGCCGAGATGAAGGCCCCATCGGGCCTTCGGCTTCAGCTTCCCACCGCGCTGCTGCTCGGGGACGAGGAACTGCGCCATGCAGCCCCACACGCGCGCCAGCGACAAGTCGGGCTTCTTCCCGGTGAGCAACTGGTACGGTGTCGTCCCCGGCGTCGCCGACCTCTCCAGGCAGTTGCGGACCCAGACAGCCTGCCGCAAAGCGAGGTGCCACCAGTGGTGCTGGACGCCCATGTGCAGCAGCATCGTCCGCACCGACTCCACCACCGTCCTCATCTCCCGCTCCGCCATGCCGTTCTGCTGCGGAGTGTATGGGCAGGTGAGGTCGTGGAGGATCCCCTTGCCGTCCACGAGGGCGGTGAAGTCCTTTCCGAGGAACTCCCCTCCCCGGTCAGAGCGCAGCATTAGCACCGACTTCTTGGTCTGTCGCTCCGCCATCACCAGCCACTGCTCGAACTCCCGCAGCACGTCGGACTTCTTGGCGACCGGCCGCACCCACACGTAGCGAGTCTTGCGGTCCTTTAGCAGCAAGAAGTACAGGCTGCCGTCCTTGGCAGCCACGCGGAATGGCCCGCACAAGTCGATGTGTACGACGGCCAACACGTCGTCGGCGTCGGAGCCGTGGTCGGGGAAGGTGTGCCTCGCCAGCTTCCCGCCGACACACGAGACACACGGTGAGTCGGCGCCCGTCGCCGACTTGAGGTCCAGCCCAATGACGACCTCGTTCTTCGCCGAGCGCCTGATGGTGTCCATGCCAATGTGTGCAAGCCGAGCATGCAGCCTGTCCGGCGTCGACCTCGTCTTCGAGACGATCGCCCGCAGGGCCACAACCTCCGGCGTGGGTGACGTCGACTTCGTCGAGCAGGGACGCAGGTCGGTGCAGAGGACTCGCCCGGAGTACGTCGCCCGACCAAGCACCTCTCCTGCTGCCGAGACGAGCAGCATCCCGTCGCCGTCCTCGTGCAGCTTCACGCCGTGCTCCTTCAGCTGGCCAGACGACAGCAGGTTTGCCCGCACACCCGGGACGTACAGTACGTCGGGGATGAGCACCTGCTTCCCGGCCTCGCCTTGCAGGGCGACGGTGCCGCGGCCCTGGACGTCCTGCAGCGCCCCATTGAAGCCACGCACGTGCTTCACGTCGCCGCTTGGCCCCAAGTCGACGAAGGCGTCCTTCGTCCCCATCAGGTGGTGGGAGCAGCCACTGTCGAGCAGGACCACCGCCGGATTCGCCTGCACAGCTGCCGCCACCGCCTGGAAGTCCTCGCCGGCCTCCGGCGCCAGCGAGACGGTCGGCTCCACGACGCCGACCAGAGAGCACGACGCCGACTTGTCGTCCTTCCCCTTGCCGCCAGCAGAGGAGTCGGCGTCCTTCGCCGAGGTCGACGACTTGGTCGACGTCTTCTCATTGCGTGACTGGTTTCCTCCTCGCCGAGGACGACGACTGCCCGACCTCCCGCGGCCACCCTTGGCGTCGTCGTCGTCGGAGTCACTGCGGTCGGGGCACTCGAAGGAGAGATGGTCGGGGTCGCCACACAGCCAGCACTCCCGACGTCGACTTCCTCCTCCTCGACCGCTGTCCTTGGTCGACTTCTTCTTGTCGACTTCCTTGGCCAGCTTCCAGCCACTGCTACCACCGCCGCCAGGCTGTCCGCGCTGCCCCGGTCGACTTCCTTGCTTCGCCGGGGCGACGAGGTTCGCCTGTGCCAAGAGCTCCTGTGACCGCTCTGCCTCCTGCATCGCCTCGTCCTGCAAGATGTACGAGGTCAAGTTGTCCTCGTTGAGCGTCGTCCTGGTGCTCGGCGCCATTGACAGCCGCTTCAGAAGGTTGTAGCTACTCGAGAGTCCCTGCATGACGTGGGTGACGTACGACGCCGTCGAGTACTGCGCGCCAGCCATCCTGATGGTGGCGAGAATTCGCCGGGCCCGATTGCAGTAGTCGGTCGCCGTCTCCTCGTCGCCCATACGCAGGTGCGTCAGCTGCCCCTCCAGCTGTGCGATGAACAAGTCGTCGGTGACTTGGTAGGTCGACTCGATGAAGTGCCACGCCCGGTGGCCGGCGTCGAGGTACTCTCGGCACCACTTCAAGGCGATCTGCACGCCCGGCGAGCAGCACCGGGAGATGACTGTGAAGGTCAACAGCTGCACGGCACGAAACTCCGCACGCAAGTCGGGATCGTCCGGCGTCGCCACGGTGCCTCGAGCAAAGCTGATCAGCCCGGCCATTTCCAGCTGGGGCTCGATGGCTTCCTTCCAGGTGAGTATGTCGGGTCGACCAGTGAGCGGCGGAGTGACCAAGATCCTGTCCGGCGTGAACTTGAAGTAGCCGTAGCTCGGTGCAATCCCGCCTGCTGTCACCTGGGTCGCCGACATCGGCACAGATCCACTTCGTCGACCTCCGACGTCACCCTGCAAGGAGCCTGCAGCCGCCGACGACCGCATCCCTCGCGCCTGAACGACGCCGACTTCATCGGCGTGAATCACACCACGCTGCCTCGACGTGCCTCCCGCACTGCTGCCGACTTGACCACCACCGGCGTTGACGCCCATGTCGACGCCGCCTTCGTCGTTCACCGGTCGAGGAGAGGCAGGTCGAGAAGGGTGCTCCGTCGCCCACATGGTGCGGAGTCCAGCCTCGACGACCGCCCAGGGTATTGCTCCGTACTCCTGGGCGTCATGGCGTCTCCTCGCGTCCTCCAGCCGTGCCTCCAGGGTGTCCACCACCCCTGCGTCACCTACGGCTCCTACCATAGTGACCAACGCACAGCTGCCGGCCTACAACGACGAATTAGTGATGTCTACGTCGACCCGACTGAAAAGTAAGTCGTGTGCCGTCCACGCTCACCGCACCATGCGGAGATAACTACTACAACGGGAGCTAGACTACGGGCTAGGCACGGGTGCTCGTGTGATCTCTGCGTTCGTTGGTCCTTAGTCGTTTTCCTAGTGTACACACTGCTTGCTAGTTCACAAGGTAATTTGGCAAGAGTTTTACTAGAGAAAGTTGACAACAATGATACAATGAAGTTGGCAAGGCAAGACTACATCAGAGCTAGCATGCAAGCAGGACGACTGCCAGCGCAGCACGGTCGACCGCGTGCCAGCACGACTTGGTCGACCGCGCTCCAGCGGTGCAGAGTCACGGCTTGTCAACACTGCAGGTCGACGGCGTGCCAACGTCGCAGGTTGACGGCGCGCCGACGTTGCTCCCGCAGGACAGCAGCGCACCTACTTCGCAGATGATTGGTGTGCAGTGCCTCGTCACCTGCACAGCGCACACACCACATCAACTACGTGCTGACGACTGCCTCTGATGCACCACGTCGACCTCGGGATACCATCACCGAGGTCGTCCTCGCCAAAACCACCCGGGCGAACGTCGCATGCCTCCGCAGAACCTCGTCACCCAGGTAACCTGGTCGACCAGGCAACCAGGTCAACCAGAAGTTCCTGTGCGTGCCCGTCGACCACCCAGGTCGACGACCACTTCCGGTCGACCTCCCCAGGTCGACCACTGCCTCTGGTATGTGCCGGTCGACCTCCCAAGTCGACGGCCACCTCCAGTCGACCTCCCCAGGTCGACCACTACCCCCTGGTCGACCAGCTCCAAGTCGACGTCACTCCAGGTCGACCAGAAGGTCTGGTCGACTCCTCAGGTCGACCAGAAGGGCTGGTCGACTTACCGGGTCGACCAGAAGGTCTGGTCGACTTTGCAGGTCGAACAGAAGGGCTGGTCGACTTACCGGGTCGACCAGAAGGTCTGGTCGACTTCCCAGGTCGACCAGAAGGTCTGGTCGACTTCCCAGGTCGACCAGAAGGGCTGGTCGACTTACCAGGTCGACCAGAAGGTCTGGTCGACTTCCCAGGTCGACCAGAAGGGCTGGTCGACTTACCAGGTCGACCAGAAGGTCTGGTCGACTTCCCAGGTCGACCAGAAGGTCTGGTCGACTTCCCAGGTCGACCAGAAGGGCTGGTCGACTTACCAGGTCGACCAGAAGGGCTGGTCGACTTACCAGGTCGACCAGAAGGGCTGGTCGACTTCCCAGGTCGACCAGAAGGGCTGGTCGACTTACCAGGTCGACCAGAAGGTCTGGTCGACTTCCCAGGTCGACCAGAAGGTCTGGTCGACTGCCCAGGTCGACCACCCGAAGTTGGCGCCCTCACGAAGTCGGCGCCCATGCAGTGGCTCCCCGTGCAGGTCGACCAACCTCGTCGACCAACTCGCCCACTGCTGCAGGTCGGCTGCACCCTACACCCGACCACGAAGTCGGCACCGCCCAAGCGAGGACGGGGCCAACATACAACTCCCGTTGACACCCCTTGCCTGCAAGTTCTCTTCTTCTTCTCCTTCCCCTGCAGGTATTTTTGAGACGTCTCAAAAATAACCTCATTGTGTACACGTCGCTCCCCTTGCCTACAAGTTCTCGTCTTCTTCTCCTTCCCCTGCAGGTATTCCTGCTCGAGAACGTCTTCATCAACGATCGGGGCATGGTGTTTGATGCAATGTACCACTACCGCCATGGGCTGCTTTGTAGGTGTGTACCTATGTTGGCATGCATGTGTGTGTGCATGCAAGTGTGTATGCATGCATGTGTTATCTATGCTATGTGTGGGACAAGGCGCATGGTGTTTGATGCCATGTACCACTACCGCCACGGGCTGCTCTGCAGGTATGTGTGCATGTGCGCAAGCATACCTCATGTATGTACATATGTCATGACTTTTGAGTCGACTCAAAAGTCACCTCTGTGCATATGGGCAAGCATACCTCATGTATGTACATATGTCATGACTTTTGAGTCGACTCAAAAGTCACCTCTGTGCATGTGCGCAAGCATACCTCATGTATGTACATATGTCATTAGACAGATAACCTGATGGTCATTGATGCCATGCACCACTACCGCCACGGGTGTGTTTAGAGTGCATGGTATGCATGTATGCATGTACTTGAAAAGAAATCCTGCCACAGTGCACGTGTGTAGAGTGAGCCGTTCCCATAGGCCAATAACTCCCACTCTCCCCTCTTCCCCTTCCTTCCTCAACTCGCTTCGCTTCTTCCCCCCTTTGCAGGTCCTGCCCTCTCGACTTTGTCCTATACACAGGGAACGAGACCAAGGTGCACGTGTACAGTGGGCTGCTGTCATCGCCCCCCCTCTCTCTTGCCTGTTTAAACTTCTCAGTGTTTCCCCCTCCTCTCTTCCCCCCTCACCCCCCTTGCAGGTCCTGCCCTCTCGACTTAAGCCTATACACAGGGAACGAGACCAAAGTGCACGTGTACAGTGGGCTGCTGTCATCGCCCCCCCTCTCTCTTGCCTGTTTAAACTTCTCAGTGTTTCCCCCTCCTCTCTTCCCCCCTCACCCCCCTTGCAGGTCCTGCCCTCTCGACTTAAGCCTATACACAGGGAACGAGACCAAAGTGCATGTGTATAATGAGCTGCTCCCATCGCCCCTGGAAAGTTTGACATTGTTTCCTCTCTTTCCCATCCCCACACCCCTGGTTAGGTCCTGTCCTCTCGACTTTGGCCTATACATGGGGAACGAAACCAAGGTGCACGTGTACAGTGAGCTGCTCTCATTGGCCAACTGGAACGGCGGGAACTTCTATCATTCGCTGCTTGAGGTCATGCCCTCTCTGCTCTACCTGCGACCGTTCTTGGAAAAGAGACCCGACATTCCCATTCCAGTCAAGATTGACCAGGTGAGGTGCAGTGCGGTGTGATGCGGTGCTGTGCCTTGATTTTTAGCACTACAATCTCAACCCAACTTTTACCACTTGGTCCCCTTGCTCCGAACTCCTCAGGACAAGCATGCAAGGGTTGTTTCCTCTCATCAATGTATCAACGTATCAACCCTCACTTCAGAACAGTCCGCAAGGACCATGTGTTCTTTGCTTGCCGCCTGCTGCTGCCGTCCATCGCGCAGTGCGGCCGGCCGGCCGCCGCCCTCGTCCTCCTTCTCTCCCATGACCCCACCTGCGCTCCCTTGCCCTCCCTTCCCCCTTCTTGCTCATACTCGCGCCCTCCGACCGTTCCCTCCTCCCCCTGCCACCATCCCTCCTCAGGACAAGCACGCGCGCCTGTTTTCACTCATCAACATCAACGCCTCATCGCTCAATTTCAAAACAGTCCGCAAGGAACACCTATTCTTTGCTCGCCGCCTGCTCCTGCCGTCCATTGCGCAGTGCGGCCGCCCGGCCGCCGCCCTCGTCCGGCACCTGCGCAATCATTACCTGCTCCCACCGTCCGCCCCGAGAATCAAATCTCGACACGAGCTGGCACAATTTTCTGGTTACTCTGCGACTGCTACACCTGCTACACCTGATATGGGCTTCATAGGTCCTGCTGCTACAGATGTTACTGTCAACCCTGAGACTGCTGCCGCTACAGCTGCTGCAGGGGGTGGTGTGCTGGCGACGCCTGATTGGTGCGTGGTGGTGGGACAGCGCGACACAACGAGGCGGATTGTGGGGCGAACGCACATTCTGGAGGAGCTTCTGGCGTTCTTTCCAAAAGAAAGGATCGTGGTGAGTGGTTGAGTATGGTGAGCGAATGTGGTGTGGTGTGCTGTGTGATTGACTCAAGAGTGACACACCAAGGCGGATTGTGGGGCAGACGCACATATTGGAGGAACTGCAGGCGTTCTTTCCAAAAGAAAGGATCGTGGTGAGTGGTTGAGTATGGTGAGCGAATGTGGTGTGGTGTGCTGTGTGATTGACTCAAGAGTGACACACCAAGGCGGATTGTGGGGCAGACGCACATATTGGAGGAACTGCAGGCGTTCTTTCCAAAAGAAAGGATCGTGGTGAGTGGTTGAGTATGGTGAGCGAATGTGGTGTGGTGTGCTGTGTGATTGACTCAAGAGTGACACACCAAGGCGGATTGTGGGGCGACGCACGTATTGGAGGAACTGCAGGCGTTCTTTCCAAAAGAAAGGATCGTGGTGAGTGGTTGAGTATGGTGAGCGAATGTGGTGTGGTGTGCTGTGTGATTGACTCAAGAGTGACACACCAAGGCGGATTGTGGGGCAGACGCACATATTGGAGGAACTGCAGGCGTTCTTTCCAAAAGAAAGGATCGTGGTGAGTGGTTGAGTATGGTGAGCGAATGTGGTGTGGTGTGCTGTGTGATTGACTCAAGAGTGACACACCAAGGCGGATTGTGGGGCAGACGCACATATTGGAGGAACTGCAGGCGTTCTTTCCAAAAGAAAGGATCGTGGTGAGTGGTTGAGTATGGTGAGCGAATGTGGTGTGGTGTGCTGTGTGATTGACTCAAGAGTGACACACCAAGGCGGATTGTGGGGCAGACGCACATATTGGAGGAACTGCAGGCGTTCTTTCCAAAAGAAAGGATCGTGGTGAGTGGTTGAGTATGGTGAGCGAATGTGGTGTGGTGTGCTGTGTGATTGACTCAAGAGTGACACACCAAGGCGGATTGTGGGGCAGACGCACATATTGGAGGAACTGCAGGCGTTCTTTCCAAAAGAAAGGATCGTGGTGAGTGGTTGAGTATGGTGAGCGAATGTGGTGTGGTGTGCTGTGTGATTGACTCAAGAGTGACACACCAAGGCGGATTGTGGGGCGACGCACGTATTGGAGGAACTGCAGGCGTTCTTTCCAAAAGAAAGGATCGTGGTGAGTGGAGAAGAGGCGTGGTGAGTGAAGGAGGATTGTGGTGAGTGAAGGAGGATCGTGGTGAGTGAAGGAGACTTGCCCTTACCCAATTTGGCCTTCAACCGTGTTTCCACTCAGTTACCTCTTCTCTTCCTCTTGAAGAATCATTCGGAATGACTTGCCTCTTCCTCTCAGAATGATTCTTCCTGGTATTCCGAGGTGACTTGCCTTTACCCGAAGCCAAACAGTTATTCAACCGTGCTAGACTGTTCATAACCCCTCACATTGGGCTCATGGCCAATATGGTCTTCATGCTTCTGTTTGCTCTCTTGAGTTTGTCTTAACCCCGCTCCCCCAGGTGTTTCGAGGAGACATGCCCTTACTCAAAGCTAAGCAGCTGTTCAATCGTGCTCGACTGTTCATATCCCCCCCTCCCCCCCATCCACCCCCGTTAACGCCTTCGTGGCCAATATGGCCTTCATAATTGTGATTCATTCTCTTTGCTTTCTTGTGCCTCTCATATTGAATACCCCAGGTGTTCCGAGGAGACCTCCCTCTGCCTGAGGCCAAACAGCTATTCAACCGCGCTCGACTGTTCATCACCCCTCAGAGGGCCCTCATGGCCATTATGACCTCCTGTACGTCCTTTTCTGCCATCTCCTTGCATCTCACCCCAATGCTCAGGTGTTCCGAGGAGACCTCCCTCTGCCTGAGGCAAAAGCGCTATTCAACCGCGCTCGACTGTTTATAACCCCTCACGGGGCCCTCATGGCCAATATGGTTTTCATGCCACCCGGAGGATTCGTGCTGGAAGCGCGGCCGGAAGATTTTGATAACAATCTGTATGATTATTTGGCGTATGTGTGTGATTTGCATTATTATTTGGTGAAGGGCGTTGGTGGGAAGGATACGGATATTAGAGTGGATATGGAGGAGATGGTAGGGGTGGTGGATGTGATTTCTAAAATGCTGATCGCACAAGGCTTGTAGTGCATTATAACAATGAAGGTTTAGGGTGAACAGTTTCATTGCATAGCCATTCATTCTTTTCACCGTTTCATTTACCACCTTCCGCCATCATTTGCATCGTGCCAAACCAAACGCCTTGAGTGGTAAAACACTCAAACGTTTGCATGCATACCATCAATTCCTCATTCAATGTTCAGTCATGTCAGTATTTACATCGTATATAATAATGTATCTCTTGCTAGCTCAATCAATTGTAGTTGTAAGAATTCTAAAGAGGATTTCATTATTGGCATGTTCAACCAAGGTAAGACCACACAAGTGTGTAATCACATTGTAAAAAACTACTGAAAAAAACAACTGAAAATAACTGCTCTATTTGGCATTGAACGCGGCTTGGTAGTTTTCGCGGTTCGCCAATTTCCATCAGCCACACCGCAATGCACCACGTAAGTGGAGTGCAAAAAAATGAGTGGGCGGCACGGAGCTGAAATTTCTGCACATAACGGAACTGTAAATTGGCCCATGATGAGCTTGAAGTCCCGAAGTCACTCGTCAATTCATGAAATCACCATTTTGTTAGACATGCCTTGTGACCAGGCCTGTCGATTCACGGACATTTGTCCGTTTTCCCTGAGAATTCAGGGTTCGTTTCAGATCAGCTCGGAGATTTTCAGGGCTGGTTTTTCCCAGGCCCGGATTCCTAACGGACAGGTTTCGGCCCCTCCCCGGATTTCCCGTACCTGCATCCCCCTCCCACTTCTCCTCCTCCCTTTCTTCTTACCTTAGACCGCGAACTGGTCGCTCTCCCCTCCTCCCAGTAACACCACACCAGTCCCTCCCGTTCCCCTAATGTGTCTAGCTTGATTATCTAAGTTTTGTTACGCAAGTGTCCTCAGAGCCAGAAATAGAAATGCCCTGATTTGAAGTCCGCTTTCCGGACCCTTCAGGGTTGATTTCGGGGCAGCTCAGCTTCGTACGGATTGGACCCAGACCTAGCGACAGCCCTGCTTGTGACAGGCGGTGAGTAACGCGCAACTCACTGCTGAGCACTCAGTGCCCGTCGGGACGCTATTCGCTGCTCAGCAGCCCAAGTGAACACCGACCTCACAGGGTCCATGAGCGCCCGCTGCAGCTGCAGTTTCGAATGCCCGTGTTCATTACACATCGGCACAACAGACGTGCGAGCGGAGCCAGCATGGTACCCGGCCGGATGCGCTGTGCGTACGCGAAACTGATTATAGTAGCTCGTGACTCCTTGCGTCGTCACGCGAGCATTCACTGGGGGCGAACTCCATGGCCGCTGGCTTCTCCCCGATGGTTGCGACGCCGCGACTGACGCGCTTGGCGTCTCAAAAACCACGCGAGCATTCACTGGGGGCGAACTGCATGGCCGCTGGCTTCTCCCCGATGGTTGCGACGCCGCGACTGACGCGCTTGGCGTCTCAAAAACCACGCGATCATTCACTGGGGGCGAACTCCGTGGCCGGCGCTGGCCATTCGCCGATGGTTGCGACGCGACTGACGCGGGCAGTGGGGTTTGGTACAACGGATTGGGCAGTCGGTTTGTCACCGCTGCGTTCGCTGCGGTCACCGCGGAGTGAACCGGCGCGCCTGCACGAACAGGGGCGCCTGAAATCGCAGTCGGTGAAATCTGCTGCCTGCTGTCGCGCGCGTGACGGTAACAGCTGTTCGCTGAGTCAGCTGCCAGCGATGATGACGGCGCTGGGCTTTCTGGCCGTCTGTAGGTGACGGCTCCGCCTCGCCGCCAGACAAGTGCAGTCATTGCGTCGTTCCAGAGCATGGTCGTGTCCTTCTCGCCCAGCGCGTGAGCGCTACGGGAGCGGCGGAGCTGCGAGTGACAGAACGCTTGCTTTCGCGCTTCTGAAATGACGGCATCCAGCCGTTGCGCTGGCCTTCGGCTATCCGAGGATTCATTTCCGTTCAATCTTGCTATCGTGAGCTCGCTTTCGCTGCGCTGCCGCACTGCGCGGGCTCCGCGGGTATCCTCGCGGCTGTTCTCAAACACGAGCTTGCTCGCGCGATTCCATGAGTCCAGTCGCCGCTGGGCGGAGTCCAGCGACAAGAGACGACGTCTGCGACCACGCCGGCTCGTGTCGCGCGGGTCGTCGTTGGCGGCAGTGAGTGCGACGAGATGTTGCAGCTGCTGCTGTGACAGCCCGTGGCCTGCGGCCTCTGGTCGTGGCTCAGTTGACAAGGCCTCTGGTTGTGCGCTTCGGTGCGCGCGGTTGGCGTCGTGAGGAGCAAATGCGGGTTTTCCTGATCGAGGCGTCTCCGGCTGAAATCGAGTGGTCGGAGGCGGCCGTAAGTGCGGCGAGGAGCTTTTCGCACGTCTGGCGCTGGCAACGGGATCTGCGGGCGACGAAGGCTGTGATAGTAATGCGAACTGCTGAGCCGTAGTCACCGTCAATGCACGAAACGCAGCCGTAGCAGAGCGAGTACTGTGATAAGGAAGATTTTCAGACGTTTCATAAGCCATTGTTTGCTGTGATTGAAGCACTAGTCAGTGGATGAGTCTTGAGGCGAAAGGTGAATGTGATGTGAGGTGAAGAGCACAACCCGAACAATTTATGCTCTCATCGCGATTTCCAGCGCCAAACTGCTGGGTGGGTGGCGAAATGAAACTGCTCCGCCTTCGTTGCATGGCTTCGCCTGACTCTCTGTATTGTTGGTGCGACGGAATGTCAGTCGCACATGGGTTCGATGTTGGGATTGGGGAATGGTGGTGACCAAGGGCGAAACATTTGGTATGGGGTTCGGGTGATACTGTACGCATCTGGTATGGTACGGATTCGCGATGAAGAAGAAAACCATCGCAAATCTGGCAGAGAACAACCATCGCAAATCTGGCGGAGAACATCGCAATTTATGGAAAAGTGCCAGTTTTTTCAAGGGTGAGCTCTGTTGTGTGACGTCAAGCTTCTTAAACATTGATGTTGTTTTGCACTCGTCTACCCTACTACTGAGCACTTAGTACTGGCACTCAATGATCTCTTTCAATGTCTGCAACTGGAAGTAAAAACCTACGAGCACCTTGCACTTTTTTATGTGGAGAAGGGGTGGGAAGGGGGAAGGTGGGGGTTGGGGGAGTGGGGGTGGGCGAGTGATTGGTGGTGGGAAGCGTTGAGGGCAGTTCACGAGGGGGCCAGCCCTCTAGAGGTTCCCGAGTTTGTGCTCACTTGTGACCACTAGTCATCTCCCCTTCACCCAACTACAGGTCAGTTTTCAAGCATGTTGTGGAATTTCTTCAAATCTATCCCCCCCGAACCCTCGTTCAACTTTGGCGGTGTCCCCGTTCGTGTCTTGTCCGTTTTGTAAATCTTTCACTACTGTTCACTTTCCACCAGAAGCTGTGAAAAACCCTACATGTGTGCCTTTCACTTCACACCAGACTCTGCGTGAAGCTATTTTACACTCTGGCCCCGACTTCTGACACAGTTCCATTCTGCCCGACCCCAGCTCTGTGTTAGCAGTGTTGGTAGGCGATGTTACCACATGTCGCTAATGGTGAAATGATCGCCGCCTTTTCTACAGCACGAGCCATTAATTCGGCAATGGCACTTGTGGTTAGGCTGAGGTAGGGTGATAGCGGAGTATAGGATCATCGATCTACCACGATGCCCTTCTCATTTCGAATCGCCGATTCATGCTCACGTGCTTGCACAATCTCTCACCATGCTCCGCTCCGTTCGTTTTCTAGTAGGAAGTTGCGCGGGGAAGTGCCGCACAAATGACATTAGCACACTCAGCAAATTATCCTATCCTCCTCACATGATCGACGCAGTCCGGCGAGACTCCTACTGCCCTGCCCACCCTCCCGCAGGAGAGCAAGCGGACGACTATCACCGACAAAATCTAGGATGCTAGGGAATCGTCGACATAACGTCACGTGTTAACGAATTCGTTGGAGCCAATGAGACTCCACATGGCTCCAGTGCCATTCGGCGGAGTGAATCTGTCCACGTGGCATCGATTCATCGTGTCGCTCAAAGGACATTCGCACCTCACCAGATACCCTCCAGGGACTCCCGAGGGTTCACCCAGTCCGAGACTCCCAGCCTTTCCGCCTCTCCTCCGCCCTCCGCCTCTCCGCCTTTCCGCCTCTCCGCCTTTCCGCCTCTCCAACTCCCAGTCCGCCGACGAAACAGACGACACGCATCACCGACGAAATCTAGGATACCATGCGAATCGTCGTCGATCATCGATGTGGTTCTCGTCGGAGCAACAATGGCTCCAGTGGCAGACTGGCAGTGCCATTCGCGTTTCTTGCGTACGCAATGTCGGAAGCTTCCGACCGACGCCAGGCGCCGGTTTCCTATCCGATAGTGACACTCCATTTTGAGTACTACGATCAGACGACTTTGAAGCCCCCTGACATGACATTGAGCCCCCTGACATGACTCCATTGAGGCCCTACTATAAGCTCGATAGGCGTTTCGGCACAGTCCATTCCTCAAGTGTTACATTACATGGGTTACCGTCTCTCTTCAAACCCTATTAGTTCACGACTTCGCATAGCTTCCTCCCCAATCCCCTCCTTTTCTCTTCAATCCTGAAGAGCCTTCAGTGATAATCTGGCGACTCGCGTGACTCGCGTGTGCTTCGTGACTCTCAACCCGAGGCCTCATTCTCGCAACTCTCGTGCAGTGACGCGTTTCACTGGGACTCTTAACTTGACTCAACCCACAGGGATCGGATCCCTAATTGGATCTCTCGTGAGTAGCAGTATGAGGCCTCGGAGTTACTGGGCCAAGGCACTGGTGAGAGAGCAGCACGCGCCTTTTGAGGCGCCTCAGAAGGCATTGGTGAGAGAGCAGCACACGCCAGGAGTGCCAAGGATGAAGCGAGGCCGAGGAGGAGACAACCACGCTAACCACCACCATAGTGACGGTGCTACTGCCAGCGATGCTCGGCGTCAGCGCAGGGTTTTCAGAACCTGTGCGTCAACTCCTGCAGCAACCAGCCCTGCAGCCACGCCAGAGGCAACCAGCCCCACAGCCACG